GTTTTAAATATTAAAAATTCTCATAAAACAAAACAAAAATAAAGGGGGTTGGCTTAATGTGTAGAAAATTTACATATAATTTGGTGGCTTGTTTAACTTTTTATCCTGGGTCTTTTAATTTCTACAATTAAATGTATTCACTGTTAAAAACCAAGACTTTTATATTAGGCGTTGGTCCTTTGTTATAGTTCATGTTATATAAATTTTTTTCTTTCTTTTTGACAAATTCAATTCATCATGTTAATAATAAAACTTAACGAAGATAACAGTGTAGCCATAAAGAGATCAATTTAATTGTTGTGAGGACGATTTTTGTATGAGCCTTCGATTATAAATTTGTAGTGGTTCGAGTATGGGGTTGTGGCCTTTTTCGGTGAGAAATAAAACAAAATTGATTTTCTTATTCATTTAACGACTGAGTTTCAGCCTTCATCATGAATCATTTATTTGCTATGAACATTGGCTACAAACGGAGGTTAGAGTATTGCCGTTAAGTCCTTTCCTTTTGGGAAGACATTAACAAAATTTAATTTTCTTATTCGTTTTCGACTGATTTTCAGGTCCATCAGGAATCGTTGATTTGTGATATATCCGCAGTTATTTGTGTAAGGATGTATCAGCCTCCGATGGTAATTCGTTGGAGGTTAGAGTATTGCGGCTGAGTCTTTTCCTTCTGGGAAGAAATAAAAAAAATCACATTTTTGCTAGAGATTTTGGCTGATTTACAGCCTTCATCAGAACCCTATTTTGTGAGCACCTCCCGGTTTAACCTTTGAAAAGTTGATATTCGCATCAGTTGATAATTCTGTAGAGGTTAGAGTATTACATTTGGGATTTTTTAATGGAAGAAAACAGATTTTTTTAGGAACTTTTGGCCTATTTTCAGCCCTCGTCAGGAACAGGTTTTTGCAATGCAATGTTTTACTCGTTGTATGTATGTGCAAGTCTTCGATGATAATTCTTTGGAGGTTAGTTGGGTTGAGACTTTTCTATGACTAAAATCATAAAAATTTCATTCTTATGAGCTTTCCATAACAATTCTTTGAGGTTAGGGTATTGCAGTTGAGTCTTTTCCTTCTTGGAATAAATTTTTGAAAAAATTCATTTTTTGCTAGAACTTTTGGCTGATTTACACCCTTTATCAGGAACCTATTTTGTGTGCACCTCCCGGTTTAACCATTGGAAAGTTGAGATTCGCATCAGTCTTCGATGATAATTCTTTATTGGTTAGAGTATTACATTTGAGGGTTTTTTATGGAAGAAAACATAATTTTTTTAGAAACTTTTGGCATATTTTCAGCCTTCATCAGTTACAGGTTTTTGCAATGTAATGTTTTACTCGTTGAATGTATGTGGAAGTCTTCGATGATAATTCTATGGAGGTTAGATTATTTCGGTTGAGGTCTGCCTTTGAGGTTAGGGTATTGGGTGAGGCTTTTCCTCTTGGAAAAAAACATCAAAATTTCATTTTATGAGCTTTCCATAACAATTCTTTGAGGTTAGGGTATCGCGGTTGAGTCTTTTCCTTCTTGGAAGAAATTTTAAAAAAAATTCAAAAAAAGCAATTATGGAGGTTAGATTATTTGGGTTGAGACCTTTCTTTGAGGTTAGGGTATTGGGTGAGGCTTTTCCTCTTGGAAAAAATCATCAAAATTTCATTCTTATGAGCTTTCCATAACAATTCTTTGAGGTTAGGGTATCGCGGTTGAGTCTTTTCCTTCTTGGAAGAAATTTAAAAAAAATTCCAAAAAAATGCAATTATGGAAGTTAGATTATTTGGGTTGAGACCTTTCTTTGAGGTTAGGGTATTGGGTGAGGCTTTTCCTCTTGGAAAAAAACATCAACATTTTATTCTTATGAGCTTTCCATAACAATTCACTGAGGTTAGGGTATTGCGATTGAGTCTTTTCCTTCTTGGAAGAAATTTAAAAAAAAATTCCAAAAAATGCAATTATGGAGGTTAGATTATTTGGGTTGAGACCTTTCTTTGAGGTTAGGGTATTGGGTGAGGCTTTTCCTCTTGGAAAAAATTAGCAAAATATCATTTTCATCGTCAAAATTTCAATATCTTGTTCCAGCTTTCAGTTGTTTCAGTTGCATTCATCAAGAACAGATTTTTGTTGGGCACCTGCTTTTTTAATTGTTCTGAGGATGATTTTCGTATCCGTCTTTCTTAATCGGAGGTTACAGGATTATAGTTGAGGCCTTTTTATAGAAGAAATCGTCAAAATTTCATTATCCTGAGCTCTCAGTTGTTTCAGTTGCATTCATCAAAAACAGATTTTTGTTATGCACTTGCTTTTTAATTGTTCTAGGATGATTTGCGTATCCATCTTTCTTGGAGGTTACAGGATTATAGTTGAGGCCTTTTTATAGAAGAAATCGTCAAAATTTCATTATCCTGAGCTCTCAGTTGTTTCAGTTGCATTCATCAAAAACAGATTTTTGTTATGCACTTGCTTTTTAATTGTTCTAGGATGATTTGCGTATCCATCTTTCTTGGAGGTTACAGGATTATAGTTGAGGCCTTTTTATAGAAGAAATCGTCAAAATTTCATTATCCTGAGCTTTCAGTTGTTTCAGTTGCATTCATCAAGAACAGATTTTTGTTATACACTTGCTTTTTTAATTGTTCTAGGATGATTTGCGTATCCATCTTTCTTGGAGGTTACAGGATTATAGTTGAGGCCTTTTTATAGAAGAAATCGTCAAAATTTCATTATCCTGAGCTTTCAGTTGTTTCAGTTGCATTCAACAAGAACAGATTTTTGTTACGTACTTGCTTTTTTAATTGTTCTGAGGATGATTTTCGTATCAGTCTTTCTTAATCGGAGGTTACAGTATTATAGTTGAGGCTTTTTTAATGAAGAAATATTCAAAATTTCATTATCTTGTTCGAGCTATCGGTCAATTTTCAGCCTTCATCTCGAATAGTTTTTTAGCGATGAGCCCGCCCGATGGTGAGGACTTATCTGCCTTCAATGATAATACTTTGAAGGTTGGAGGGCTTTTTTTATGATAAAAATCAACAAATTTTTCATTTTACTGTTCGATCTTTATGTCGATTTTCAGCTTTAATCAAGTACCGTTGTTTTTGAACTCCTTGTTTTAATAATTGTTGTGAGGATGATTTTCTTATCAGCCTTTCATGATAATTCTTTGTCGGTTAGAGAATTGGGTTCAGACCTTTTTAAATTCAACAAGTTGTAAAATTTCATTTTCTTATTCGATCTTTCAGCCAATATCATCAAGTAAAGATGATTGTATTAGTTAAATTTTTGCGCGATAAAATGGGTTTTCTGCAGGCATTAAAAATATTTAAGTGATAAGTCATAATTTTATAGTTTTCCGCTAGTTTGGTAATTAAGAGTGATTTCATTTCATGTTTTGTCATTCAACTCTTCATTTTCGAACCTTATTTTTTTTCTATTTGAAAAACCTTTATGTAAGTTATCGTTATCTCGTTCTATATTTTTTTTAATGATATTCCTTTCTCCTTCTCACGGGTTTGAATCAAATCTTTGGGACCTTTTATCTCTGCGTTCGGGAGGAATTTTTCTTCGGGGGCAAACATATGGTGTGAGGTTTTTATGGAAGGCCGCCCCCTTTTTCAATGTCTCCAAGTAACACATGTGTACCCCAGGCCTTACCACTAAACGGATCCGTGGTAGAAAGTAGGTATTTTAACGCCGAACTCGGGGAGGAAGAAATCCTACGAGTTATTTTTTGAACTTTTCGAATTTACGGTTAGGTTATGAGAAACAATGAAAATATAATAAAAACGCTTAGAAGTGGACGGTCCTTTTGTACCTAACTTGACAGAGGTCCAAGAGACCATTTGTTTGGTTTTCAGTCAACTATACCTAAGGACCCTCATTACAAGAATCTTTCTTCACACTTCATTTCCAATTCTAGACAACGATTTAAAACTTTTTCCGTTGTAAAATCTTAAACCAGACACAAATTTCAAAAATAATCTATTATGCCTGATCGTCTTGAACCAATAAATTTTTTAACCAAGATTACAGTTTGCCTATATCATTACATAAATAAAATACAAAAATGAACACTGAATATACATATAATAATATGAAGACTTGAAAGCAAATCACCAAAATTTATGGCATTATCGAAAAATTTTCGTCAAAAATATATTCAATATAAAACGAGAAATTTTCCCAGAACGACTTTTTATTGGGCACAAAAATATGCTTAGCTTATGGAAATTTGTGTGGTGTTGTTTTCTCACGATCTCCAAATAATCATATGTTAATTGTTTAACAAATTATCAGTAAACAAATTAATACTGAATTTTTCTTTTCTGGGAATTATCTTTTTTTTGTCAAATTTTGCTGAACTTTTAAAAATTCCCTATGGATTAGTGAAAACGACCAGAATTTAATCAATGGGACGTTTTTAAATTGACCTCCCGTCTATAAACAAATTCGACGAATGATTATAAGCTTTTTTGTTAAGTATATTTTTTAAACAATTTTACGGCTTAATTTCTTTGCTTTTCTTCGATTTTTTTTGCCTATGATACAGCGTTGATAAAGCACCGAACGATATCATACAAAAATTTTTTTTACAATAATTATCAGAGACATTCAAAGGGTGAATAAATTCATATTAATCAACTATTTCAGGAGATTATTTGTATGCAGTGAGTGTAAAATGCAAGAAGGCTCAAAGAAAATAATAAATTGGCTGTTGGCACAAAGAAACGCCAAAAATAAAATTTAAAAATTGATTTTCACCATTGAAATTCTTTGATTCCAAGAGTTTAGCTTGGTAAACAATAAAATTACTTTTCTATTATGGGTTCGCCTATTCTAGCCTGTTTTCTTTACTATCGAGGAAAGATTCAACAGTAGGTCAACCAGTCGACGATTGTTTAAAAGACACTGGATTAAACATTTCTCGTGTATTTTTTCTCTATAAAATTGTTCGCTATTTCCCTCTTAATATATAAAAAAAAGTTAAATGTGTATTATTCGAACCTTCGGGCGAAGTTGATAGTCGTAGCAGGTCGAGGCGGCTTCTCTGGTCAGCACGAAACCCGGCAGCGCGAGGAAGAAGAACCAAAAATTTTGGGCCCTCATGACGGCACCGAGGGCGTACGCGTACTAAAGTGCCGGGTCTTGTACCCGCTACACATTTTCCATTGAGCTCCCCCTCTCGTGTTTCACGGGGCCCCACTCTTCAATCTTCGGAAGAGTGAAGACCATTCAGTACCTCGGGCTCGGCACTCGGCAGTCGGAGGACACATAGGCCACACGTGGCTCACAGCCTCACGCCTTTTGGTCTGATCCTTCTGGTAAACTGGTGGCTCATCGAACCTTGTTCAAAAGTAAAAAATACGGATGGTATCTCATTAACAATTGATTTGCTACAAGTAAACTAGATTTTCTTTATTCACCTTAAACTTGCCTAAAATCGAAGCATTACCAAACATACTTAACAAAATGGACAAAATTGATACGATTGGTCATCTCCTTTTCAACAAAAATGAAGAAATAATGACGAATTTTCAAAAAGAAATTTTGCCTTATGTTTTTCTTAGTTTATCTCACCGAATGAGTACATTTGGTGATTTGCAATGTGCAGATTTAAGCTCAATTCCCCCCACAGAGACTGTCACGCATTGAGGTGCCCCAAAATTTTTGAAATTATAAATTTAAAAAAAAATTAAAAAACCATAGTCTAAATTGTAAATTGTGTCTTGTATTATATTTGCTGATCTAATTAGTTGCAAGATTGTTTTTGTATGTATACAAACATGAACATTTAAAAAAAATTTGAACTCTGAAAGACAACAAAATCTTCCTCATAGGATTTAAATTACCTGATTCGCTCACCGATTTGTTTTGTTAGATTTTCTTTATTCACTAACACACTAGCTAAAATTGAGGCATTACTAAACACACCTAACAAAACGGTAAAAAATGATATGATTGGTTATCTCCTTTTCAACAAAAAATCAAGAAAAAAAGACAAATTTTCAAGAAGAAATGTCGCCTTATGTTTTGCTTAGTTTATCTCACTGAATGAGGAACTTTAGTGATTTGCAAGCAAATTTACACTCAATTCCCCCCACAGAGACTCGCACACATTGAGGTGCCCCAAAATTATTGAAATTATAAATTTAAAAAAAAATTAAACAACAGTCTTCACGTAAAAATGTGAGTTAGCCAATGAATTGTGTCTTGTATTATATTTGCTGATGTAATTAGTTGCAAGATTGTTTTTATGTGTATACAAACATGAACATTTTAAAAAAATTTGAACTCTGAAAGTCAACAAAATCGTCCTCATAGGATTTAAATTACCTGGTTCGCTCACCGATTTGTTTTGTTAGATTTTCTTTATTCACTAACACACTAGCTAAAATTGAGGCATTACAAAACACACCTAACAAAACGGTAAAAAATACGATACGATTGGTTATCCCCTTTTCAACAAAAAATCAAGAAAAAATGACAAATTTACAAAAAGAAATGTTGCCTTACGTTTATCTCACCGAATGAGAAAACTTGGTGATTTGAAATATGCAGATTTAGCTCAATTCCCCCCCCCCGCGCGAGGCTGTTACACATTGACAAAAGAAAAATGACAGTGTGAATGGCTAAACCTTCGAGAAAATAAGCTAAAAATCAAACTAAACTGTCAAGAATAGAAGTGTCTGGTCACACGTGAATTACTCATGGGTATTTGTGGCCTCTGCGCTTAACTTGCAGAGTTGTAACCACTGTCAAACACATACTACTGGACTATGAGAGATTAAGGACACACTTCAGCAGAGAATTGCAATCTTCTCTGTTCAAATTACTCAGTGACAATGAAGTGACGATTTCGAAGACTATTGGATTTTTTAAGGGAGACAATTAGGGATGTCTAGTTTAAAAATAGTCAAAATAAAGATGTGAGCCTTGGCGCTTGGGTGTGGTGTGGCAGGGTAGAGTGACGTGCCAGAGATGGGTAAAACGAAGCAATAAAGCCTTAGCTGAGCTGAAAATTATGTTACTTGTGATTTGAGATGAAATTCCTCAAGAAATGGTTAAAGGTTTAATTATTAGCATGCTGAGAAGTTTAGTGTGTAAGAGCAAGATGAGGTAATACACCTTATTAAAGAGTGTTGTTTGTTTTGTAATGTTTTATGTTCATACACAAAAGTGATTTTTTTCTTTTTATAACTTTTTTTTAGAAAATTTTTTATTTTCACACTAACCAAATCTTTTAATAAATACCTTTAACAAAATATCAGTGTTAATATTACTGAAAAGGCAAGTACATAAAAAAATATCAAAATTTCAAAGTACGCCACCTTTTTTTCTGGAGCAGTTTATATAATTATATCAATATATCAAAAGTCGAACCACCTAGCACTCCTTAACAAATCTTAATTCCTCTCTCATTTATCCTATTTATTAGTGAATAAAATGTCTAATTTACTTTACAAAAGGCTACACTAAATTATGTAATTATGTAAGGGTTATAGGGTACAACCGAATAAGCAGACTGAAAATGGCAAAACACCCCTGGGAGAAGTAAGAACTAACTACTAAAACTAGAGTTAATGGACATTCCAGGATTATCGAAAACAATAATTTTATTTATGTCTACAGATTTTAATAGACATAAAAACAAAACAAAAAACAGAGCCAAAGGCTTAAGAAATGAATTAAAATATGAGATAAATAACAAATAAATAAATCAGCTTAAAAATGAAATTTAAAAAAAATTAAAAAGTACATGTTTTTCTGTACAAAAAGGTTGCTTTCATGTGGCTCACTTAATTGAAGAGGGTCATTATTTGGCTCTATATAGGGAGCATGTAACGAATGCAACCCTAGCAAGAATTAAATTCACTAATTTTGTGGTCCGCTTGACCAATTAATGCATTACAATTAATTAAGGTTTTTAGTTGAGACAAAAAAAATGGCAAAAAGGAGGGAAAATTTAAAAGGTGGGGTAGAGATGGGAAGTTAGTGTCTGAGTGGATCGAAGTCTCGATAGCTCAAGTGGTAGAGCAGCGGCGTATCTAGCCGAAGATCGTGGGTTCGAATCCCGCTTGTGCCATTGACTTTTTTATCTCAACTAAAAACCTTAATTAATCCTAGCAAGAATGTCAAGTACTTCACTATCCTCAAGCTGGTATATGCAAATAGGAATTATAATTACCTGCTCAGGCTTTAAAAAGTGAATTAAATTATGAGATAAATAACAAATGTATAAAACAGAGCATAAACTACAAATGAAAGAGAACTTTAAAAAAAAAATGAAATAAGGGCAAACATGTTTTTCTGCAGAGGAAGGTTGCTCAATGTGGCCCGCTTAATTAAACAGGGTCATTCCTTGGCTCCATATAGGGAGCGTGTAGGAATGCATTCCTATACAAGAATACATTAGAGAATATTTGGGTCCCCTGTTCTTATTTTTAGAGGAAAAAGTTTTTGTTTTTCTGTATATATATCGCCTTTTTTTTTTGTGTATATTGAGACTGAATGAATTTATTAGCATGAATGTCAAGTACCTCACTAACCTAAATGAATGGTATGACAATAGGAAAAAGTGTATTTAGGAGTGAGTGAAAGGTGTGTAGGATTACATTGGGGATGGAAATTACCCTGGAGTCCAAACTTGGTGGCTGGAAGGATAAGACCGAGTCAGACCCCGTAACTGAGCGGGTGATTCTCAAGCTGATAATTTATTGTAAATCACAAAAGCTGGATTTGCTGGTGAATGTGAGAAGGCTCATGATGTACATATAATGCTTGTGCAGATTTGAGCTTACATAAATCAGTAATCAATCAGTATTATAATAATCAAATTTTTATTAACCTGTATATATATAGTACTATGCAAAAACAATCAATTTTAACATTAATTATTAAATAAATCATAAAAAAATTTCAAATATTTATACATATATCTATATTAAATACTACAGTTGTATTTATTTTATTGTGTCTGTTGTTTCAGGTATATATTTAATTCGGCCGTAAAAATTTGTATGTACAAAGGTAAGAATTTGTTCACAATTCAACATTGAAAACTAATTTCCCTGCTGCAGGAACTTCCCTTATCCTCCTGTGAGCTTCGGGCGCTTGAGCAAATTTGAACTCACGCCCTACGATTGGGTTCAACCAATTTTCCTTTATTCCGGAAACAATTATATTCGAATATTCATCGAATTCCTCCTGTAACTCGATCAAATCAATAAAAGAGCATTAATCCACTTTGGCGCAATTTTACATACGGGCGTCACTTTCATCAAGTTTGCTGCATATATCGATCCTTCCGTAAACATCAATGACCTCGGATTGATTTCCACTTTCTTCGGACGGCATATTTTGTTTTTCATCGACCCCCTAGTGCCTACGATCTGCGACAAAAATCCTAGTAGTGCAGTACATTAATTTTGTAAATGACTAAACTTACAGCAATTCTTCCAGACTTAGAAAGCATTATGAGATCCTCGCCTAAATTTGTGTCAGCGCAATTTTCAAGTATTACATCGAATCCTTTCGAGCCTGAAGCTGTGTAAACATCAGCTAGATATCCTTCCTTTCTGAGAAAAGAAGTATAAACTATTCAAAATCTTTAAAAAAATACTGAAAATTGGCTTTACTTATGATTGAAGACAAGATCTGCTCCAGCTTTTTTAACAATTTCTTCTCCTAGTTTTGATCCTGCTGTTCCAATAACTGTCAACCCTAGAAAATAAATTTTTTAAATTTTTTATTCATTTATTTATTTTTCTGGATAGTTGGACATTATAATGAGTACCTCTTGATTTGGCAATTTGTACTGCAGCAGTTCCAACACCTCCGCTAGCTCCATGTACAAGCAACAGCTCTCCCTTTTTTATTTTGCATCTGCCATAAACAACACAATATTGAGAATCTGTATAGTGTATTAATTAAATAAAGGGAAAGGAGGACAAATTGTGTTAACAATATACGCAAAATTACTTTGTTATTAATGCCCGTATTGCAGCGAAATATGAAACGTATAGACAACTGCTCTGAACGTAGCTGATGTTCGAAGGAATGGAAATAAGCCTATTTTGTTCACATGTTACATAATCAGCATAGCCACCGTTTCCGGGGAGACAACACGTCACGTGATCACCTTCCTAAAAAAAAAATCCTTAATCATGGCACAAGTTATCGAATGAAATTCATACCTTGAATTTTGATACGTCAGGGCCGACTGCTTCGATTATACCGGAGACTTCTTTTCCTAAAATTAACGGCAAAGCTGGAAGCGACATGAACGCACCTTCCCTAATAAATACATCTACGGGGTTTATCCCTGCTGCGTACACTTTGACAAGAACCTGCATACCGATTACAATATTACATTACTTTCGACGCCTTTATGAGTGATTATGGGTTTTGGCACAACCTGTCTTTGTCAATTCCAAGTCCAAGTAGTTCAGAAAACTCAAAATAAACAAAATTCAAAAACAAATATATATGTACAAAGTAATTAGGCCTTAATGTGTACAATAATCAAATTAACCTTTTTTTTACATTCACTAATTTTGTGGTCCGCTTGACCAATTAATATATTACAATTAATTAAGGTTTTTAGTTGAGATAAAAAAGTCAATGGCACGAGCGGGATTCGAACCCACGATCTTCGGCTAGATACGCCGCTGCTCTACCACCTGAGCTATCGTGACCTCGATCCACTCTGACATCAACTCCCCATCTCAACCCCACCTTATGAGTTTTCCCTCCTTTTGCCATTTTTCAAATGTCGTGTAATCGGTTTGGATTCTCGACAATTGAAATGGCGACGGAGAGCTTTAGTGAAGTGTACATCAGTTAATTCATTAAATTCACTAATTTCGTGGTCCGCTTGACCAATTAATACATTACAATTAATTAAGGTTTTTTTAGTTGAGATGAAAAAAAGTTAATGGCACGAGGTCACGATAGCTCGGGTGGTCGAGCAGCGGCGTATCTAGCCGAACGTCGTGGGTTCGAATCCCTCTCATGCCATTAACTTTTTTTCATCTCAACTAAAAAAACCTTGATTAATTATTTAGAAACGTTTTCTAATTTTCGGATTGAATTAAATTATTGATTATTTAGTTACATTTAAATAATTTAATAAATTAAAATTAATAATTTAATAATAAATTTAATTTACATTTAAATATTGGGGTGGATTAAACTTCTGTAGTTCTCAATAATTAGGATGAGTTCAGCGACAAAAGCTACAAATTGTATGCCTCTTTTTTTTTTGCAATAGTTTTAAGAGCGTGCTGAAAATTACATTGTAAAAAATAGGTCCCAGTATAACCCGCAGACAACCCATTTGTATTTTTCTCCTGTCTTGCAGATAATGTGTCGACATTTCTAATTTTCTTTCCTCTAACTGGCTTGTGATTTCTGTGGTATCCTTTCCTGTTGAGTTCCCTAAGTAAAGTAGGACTACCCACTCTATTGAGTTCTTATCACTATTTTTTGACATATTTTTTAAATTTTTTAATTGTGCATCCACAGTTGAACTTTTTTTTTCTTGTTCTAAACTGCCACTCTAAAAGCGCTCGATAATTGGTGAATGCTTTATAAAAATTACTTTCTACAACAATTTACCTCATACTGGTAGACAGCGTATAGGTCTGTACGAGTGGGTTTTCTTCGTGTCAATCAACCGGTAGAAACGTTGAACTCAGTAACACAAATGATTACAGCTATTTCTACATTAAATAAGACACAAAGGGGAAATCATACAAAACCAGATAATTTTTAAAATTTTAATATAGAATGTATTTCATTGACACAATAATTTACACAGCAGAAAAAAAAACTTAAAATCTATTGTCTGACAAAAATGGTAATTTATATACACATACACACACATATTGACAACAATTTCAAAAAATAAAAGGAAATAAACGTTTAATGACTTAAATAAATAGAAGTTCATATGACTATGCTAAACCCCAGATGAACAAACTAAATATACCCCAAGAAAGGAAAACGATCGAGGCAAATCAACATGCTACAATAAGTTTCACTTTTAGTTCTACATTCTTTTAAATTGTATTAACACATTATACATATTAAGATTATCAATAAATACATAGAATAACAATTTTATTAAGACTCCATTTCGATATGCGAGGCAAAACAGTTTGAGGAAATAAATTGCCAACAATTTGAAAATATTTTCAATATTTAATATCTTTAAATATAAATATTTTCAGACTTAAAATTATCCAACTGTTTTACAACGCTAAATATTTGTACATATTTTTAAATATTTCTTCTAACAGAATCACTCGTATTTTTACGATTTTAAAACACATTTACACTACTTATTTATTATTCTGTTATATTGTATAAAACTTATAAAATTCTATTTGTAAATTTGTCCATAACTCCTCTAAACACTCTTTCGTAAGCAGAACAAAATAATAAGCTAAGACCATTTGGTTAAAGGCGCAATTAGGTTGGAAATTCATTAGGATGACAAAATGATCAAACTAATTTAAAGAAAAAAATGAATCATTTCTTAGTTAGATTCATTTATCCCACCGAAATTTCCAAGTGGAAAAAAGGGTTTAATTAAATTTCTAGACGAATATGAATACTTAGTAATACACATATTACATAAACCTCCTGAGGTTCTCGAGCAATGCCCAACTTAGCTCAAATGAACATAAATTTCGGTGGGTTTTAAAATAAACTCTACAAGCTTTCATTTTGCGAATTTAACATTTTAGTCAATACATTTGACCATTAAGGTAAATAACCAGACAACTTTCTTTAAATTAAATAATTTAATATTATTTTTCTATTACTACAACTATACTTATTTCCTGTTTATTGCGTATTTTTATATTATTTATAAAATTACCATTTGAGGAAATTTTCAAAGGCAAAAAACTATATTAACCCTATTATTGCAAACAATGACTGATAAGATTATGGTAACCAATCATATCACATTGTTCAGTACAAAATATTATCTCTTCTAGAAATATGGCAATATAGAGGTATCGCGAGTAATTCTGAATAGATCCATTTTATATTTAAATGTTATTTCTTATTATATACAGTGTAGCCACATTTATCATATTTTAATAAAATAGAAAATGAGAGAATTGTGCACGCATTCGACCAAGAAACGAGAATATTTGTCTTTCATAACACGAAATGTAAACTACGCTTTTTTACAAATTTTTTTTTTTGATTGTCTTGGCTACTTCAAGAATATTTGGTAATACAAAATTGTACAAGTAGAGAACAACGGTTTGTGGGGTGATTAAGTACAAAATAGACATTTACATTTTTTCCATTGATATTGAGCCTGATTGTGACAGCATTAGTTGCCCTAACTAAATATAAATTGGAAGTATTTATTAAAAAAAAAAATTGAAAATCTGAGTTATAAAGGTGGCACATTTGAAAATCAAGTCTTCCATTCAAGCCACAATTCTCTTCTAGGCTGTTTTTGAGACAGAAAATATTTTGAAAGTATGTCAATTTCATAAGTTCAATGATTTTCTTTTTCCAATATGTTATGTTTATTAATAATCTAGGATATTATAGCACAATTTTTTTTATTGTACAAAATTTGAAAAAAAATTAAATAGTAGTCTAATTATTATTTTTTATTATAAAGTATTTCAAAATCTATAATTATCTAAAAAGTTTATGAGGTAAGAAAAAATCCCAACTCGAACAATTTGGGTTTTTTAAAGCAGTAAAATAAGCAAAATTTGAAAATCAAAAAGGATCTTTTTATGTGTCCAAACTCTAATTTTTTACGATTTAGTCCAACGACTAAAAAATTAGTTTTGTTAAAAATGGGATATGAAAAAAAAAGATTATTCTTTATTAATGTGCATTTTCAACAAGTGCTTATTTTACTGGCAACAGCTTTGAAAACACTTTCATTGAAAAAAAATTCAAATATTGTAAAATTTATTGCACATGCCACCTTATCACAATTCTGATCTTTGGTGCATTTTGATATTTGTGAAAAAATGTGACGGACCGGATACAGGTACGGCGAAAGAATTTTCAAAATGGCATTTTTAAAATTTACAAGACTTGTAAGACCAAGAAGAGCATACGACGAAAAAAAATTTCTAATAATGCTGGCAGCATTTGCTTCTTTTTTTTTTAATTATTAAAGGCATTTCAAAACTCTTTTAAAAATAAAGTGGAACTATGCAGTCTGAATAAATAAAAACTTAAAAGGGAAGAAAAGAGATGTTACAAGGCTTTGCAATATTTCAAGGACTAGGCAATTTACAAACTAATTATTCAAAGCTCTTTTATGGTTACCCTTTTATCTACCAAATCTAACAAATCATTGTTTTTTAAGCATATTACCATTTGACTGACAATAGAGGAATAATGACAAAATACAGCAAACAAAAGTCTAAACTTACACCTAATGACACAAGAAAAAAAAAATCTCAAGTTCACTTTTACATTAATTATTGTAATAAAACAGTGTTTGAACACAATACTGATGACATTTAGTCATCGTCTTAGGCATCTAGCAGCCTTTAAAAAATTTTAATCCCTAAAATTTATACGAACACGATCTAAAAATGAACTTGTCTGATCATCGTTCGGTCCAAATCAAAATGAACCAACAAAACTTGGCAGGCAATAACAATAATTTATTAATGTTTATATTAACAAATTGATAGTCGATAAAATATAGATGTACACTTTTCTTCAATTATTTTGTACTTTCAACTCTTCTTTTTTTTTTAAGTTACTTTTTTATATTTTATAAAAAAAAACTCTTCAATTTGAGGTATAAAGACGTGAGATGTAAAGGCATTATGATATGTGGCATCTCATACTTATAAATTGTCGCATGGCTGCCCCAAGACACAATCACTCAATAATTTATTAATAGGCAGTGATGAGTGACCAGTCAATTGAGATCATGAGATCATTTTAGGATAAATTGCCTTTTTTTTTTTTTTTACTTTTAAAGTTTTTTAATAATAAAACTTGACAACAAGCAGTCTAAAGACTGGAAGATCAAATATTTTATTCTTATTTACTTTAACAAATTACTTTTGAAAAGTTTTGAAAATGCTCTGTGGATGCAGGTTGGTTTTATTAAGCCAACCATTACCGTCCATTTCTTTGCAAACAAATTTGCATTTCATTACAGGGAATCGACATTTGATTTACTCTCAAAGACAAGACAATGCAAGTTTGTTAACAATTTTCTCTTTTTTTAATTGGCCCCAAAATTCTACAGTTATTTTGGCGTTTTGTCCAGAGGAATTGAGCATTTCATATTCGAAGTGCTTGGGACTATATAATTTTTTTTTAAATACACTTTATAATTGAAGGGTTTTATTTTAACAACAAATTACAGCAGTCTTCCTTAGACAAGAGACAAGGACAGAAAATGCACAGTTTTAGTTATAAAAGCAAGACGTAGATGAAAATAAAAGTTGCGAGTTACCAAAAAACTACTAAAAATACGAGGCGCTTTTAAGGCCACTTTTGAGATATAACATTGCTCCCTTTTTTATCGCACTGCAATTTTTTTTCAGAAGACAATATCTCATTTTAAACCGAGGAAAACGCCCAAAACACATTTAAAAAAAAAATTATGATTGTTTCTTTAAAGGCCTATTTAATTTGTAAAAAAATTATTGTCACTTTCCTAAATTAAGCCTTGATCATGTGGAGTATTATTCAAGTACGGCATACTTCGGGCTATCAGTATTACAAATACTGATATAAATTAAAAATAAAATTTTGGTTTTATTTGTTGCACAAGGTTTTTCTATGAATTTTGGTTATGGAATATGTAAAGATTTTTTTTAAACAATTTATTATGAAATATATCCATTATGACTAGAAAAGGGAGAAATCTATAAAAACCAAATCAATTAAAGAGGTACATCTAGGACGCGCACACGGTATCCACTTAAAAAAAGGCACAATGTTAGGAGAGCACATGCAAATCAGTGCTACATAAATATTAGAAATACTTTGATAGGAATAATTCTTAAGACTAAGAAAAACAATATTTCTAACAGATTCAGTACGGAGGACGCAATGGTGCATCCTAAGTTAAAATCCAATGGGCCAGTGGGACACTCTCGTGTGTTTTTTAGACCCTCTATTTTCTTTTGATGAATTATGGGGCTAAGCTTTTTCTGGAAACGTTCGATCTGTCTCTATCCGGCCTCATTTTGAACCAAGCTATCCTATGTTGTTACACCCAACTCATCCCGATTTTTTTGTTTTTTTACAAGGGTGTTTCAACTGAGGTTATATAAACCCTTGGGGTGCCGTTTTTTTTTTTTTTTTTTTTTTTAAGCCCATTTGTAAGTATATCAGGTCCGAATGCATAGCCGCTGGATCTGAACCTGGGATCTTTACCTTACAGTGATGAGCGCCGTGTCAACGCCTAAACAATTACGACCACCGATGCCCCCTCAGTAAATTTTTATTAAGCCTGTAAGTATGATGTTTTTGTGCAATTACTTCTTTAAATCGATTTACAGAATTATCACTTACAGTTAAATTATTGATTTCATGTTCATATGGACTCATTCAAATTTTTGAATTTTGGATTTTTAGGATTTTCCTGATTTTCCCCAGGTACATAGGGTTTTTTCAGACTTTTTTATTTATCAATAAAGTAAAAAGGTAAACGGAACAAGTTCCCGGAAAATGAAGTGCCAACCCTGAGCGACCTAATTTTGTCCGATGTCCCATCTCGGCAACAAAAGTGCTACCGTACTGAATGTATTAAAATATTAATAATCGATGTTTTAATATTAAAAAATTAATTGTTTATTAATCTGATAATTATCCATTTATCATATGGATAAACGATTAATGATTGATACGATTTTAGGCTACACTTTGTGCAATAATCTATTAAATTAATGTTTGTTTTTTGTGTGACAATTTTAACTTAATTAACCTAAGCGAAAACAGCTGTAATTTGCTTTTAATAAAACCTCTTAACTGGAAGTGTAAAAATCTTAAATATCTAAATAACCAATCATTTATTAAATCTTTCGGACAAATTGAATCCCAATCGATCACAATTTCGTTTTTTTTTTTTTTTTTTTTTTTTTAAATTTGTGTTTTGAATAGTTTATAAAATATGTCGATTTTTTTAAATATTTAATCATGTTTTGTGTAACAAATTTAGTAATAGCTCATACAACCTTCCATTCCAAATTTTAAATAAATATAAAAAAGTATTTCTTTAGATTTTAAGAGAGAAAAAAAAAGCCTTAATATTATATAAATTTTCAGCTAAAATCTCTTTAAAGGTATGAAGTCGATCTATCTTTACGAATAAAATTTTAAATATAAATATAGTTAAACTATCAAAATAACAACTTAAAATTATAAAAAGAAAACAAAAAGTCCATCAAATTGTAAAGAGAAACAAAATATTTCTTTATATATTAATATAAACAATTGTGAGCTATAAATTTTTTGGACACAATGAATGAAAATAATATTCCATAAAAACTTATTTAAATTTGAACCAATTCTAAAAGATGGTTTACCCACAGTGAAAATGGTTTCTACTTTGAATTCGTGATTAAGAGAATGTAAAAAAAAAAATAATAAAATAAAATAAAATTTTAATTGATAATAGTGGTTTACAAAAATAAAAATAAAGAATTTTAAGCCTTGCCAGAAGAGTAATCAATTTTAACAATATACATTTTCTAAATGAGATAACGTTTAAAAACAACTCACGACTAGGAGAAACACATTGGGACATGCCAACTGTGAATATAACCATCCTTTGTACCTAGGAAACAAATGTAATATTATAACCAACGGTCAGTACCAATACTTTACTGTTAATTTGTTGCAGGTATCGGCTGTCTAATGATCTCTGTTGACTGATTGGACGATTCGTCGTAACCAGAGTCGGACGAAGCATCGCTGAACACTTTTGTCGCCTTAACAGGAGGAGGGGGTAAAGGCTCGCACTTTTCCCCGTTTCTTCGCCTCCGGCACGGGATGGCGAAACGTGGGTCAACAATGATCGAGCCGTCGGGACCGACAAAAATTGTCCCACAGCAGATCTTTTCTCTAAAAATAAATATAAAATTATTTAAAGAACGTGTTAAGGTAGGATTATAGGCGTTTACCTTTTCCAAATTGTGAGATCAACGAATCCCGACACTTGCGGTGTTGGGGACAGTCTTTTGCTTACTGGGCCATCATCAGGATCTTCACTCGGAGTCGGACTTCGACTACCTTCTGGACTTTCTTCGGACCCTTCTTCACCTTTAAAATAAAATAATAATAAATAGAAATTTTGATTGGGGAAAAAATATTTCTTACCTTGATCTTCTCCGGGGCTAACCTCTCTCAACTTTCTCGGCTTCTTCTTACGTACAGGCTCATCTTGATCTTCGTCAATTGACTTGCGCTTAGGTTTTGGCCTATTGAAATTGCGGGATTTGAACTTTGTCATGGATTTTGTGCCAGGTCCAGCACGAGCATCAACAACCTAAAAATAAAATTACTGATACTCAAAGGAAACCCTTTATTAAAACAATTCGCTATAAGCAATGAAATAAACATTTAAGAGAAAGGTTGTATATAATATGTTCACTTAAATGTGCATGCTTTAGAAACAAAAACTTTTAAAATATTCCTTCTACAACATAAATTTTTCAAATTTAAGTTGTGTGAATAGATTTTAACATATTTATAACAACCCTGGCTCCAACGTTTCACTGCACCCTGTGGTCAGCAATCTGTATTGAAATATGCTGGATTGTACGCTTTTTCATCTCAGCGCAGGAACAGCTGAAATCTCTGCCCTGGTTGAACAGTACTCCATACCCGCCGTTTTAAATTAATGCCAATTCCCAAACAACAGAGCTAGAAATGGCAAAACTCACACTTTATTAACCAAATTATAATTGAGCATATCGGTAGTTAAATACAGGAAGGGGGAAAAGGGGCTAAAAAAAGAGAAAATCATGGATTGAATTCTGTTGACATATGACACATTGCAAAGTAAATATAGCTGAAGAACTTGCTCGCAAATGGTTTTGCAATTTTTTCTATCAATTATCAGAGTGGAATTTAATTTCAAATAGAAAATATGGAATAAATTTAATTGATTATGTAAGATATAACACATGATCAGAACAAGGAAATATTAACCCTTTGCAGACAGTATTGGAGTGCGAAGTTGAGAACCTTTGGAATTTTAACTTTATAAAAACTAAAACTCTATTTAAATATAACAGAATGTTTTGGGCAAATAAGTCTGTTTGGTTTTTACATGTTTATGCTGCTCAACCTGCCTCTGTTGTAGTGCTACTATTTAACATAACTCAGTTGAAACACGATTTCACATATTTTATGTATGTCAAGAATACTTCAGTCGCTTATGTGCAACAAATTTTTCTGCTCTTTTTTTTTTTTTTTTTTCTTTTCGAGTTGTGAAGGCCCATAAAAAAATATGGAGTTGGTGCCTTAACAAATTGCATGTGCTAAAAGTGGTTTGCTAAATTTTAGTCTGGAGATTTTAAATCAGTGATACTGGCTCCATACAGGTCATCCAACTGAGGTTGGTTGTAGAGAAGAAAAATAACTTTATTCTGGGAATGGTGTCCCCTAAGAATATTTACATGAAATAAATAAAGGAAATTCCTTCTATGAAGTTAAAAGTAAAAAAAAGATAGAAATCTTGGCACAAAGTATACCAGTAAGGCAGGCCAGAAGAGAAAATTACGAGAATATTAAATAAAAATAACAAATGTTAACGAGAGGTCTCTGCTTGGAGGGAGAGGAAGTGTTTAAACAGGTGGGATTTAAAGGAGGAAAAGGAGGCAGCGTGATGAATAGAAAGGCGAAGGGAGTTCTAGAGTTTAGGGGCTCGGATCAGAAAGGATCTTTCAAAGGTATGGGTTGTATATTGCGGAAGGATAAGATCGATTGGGGATGAGCGGGTCTTATGAGTGTGAATTGGAGGGATTGGATGATGTAAGGAGGATGAGTGTGGATGGACTGGAAAAGAAAGCAACCTAGGAAATACTGTGTACGGAAGGAGGGGGAATAGCCAGGAAAGTTGGGAATACAACCTCGACACCCGGGATCCCCGTGGGATGCCGTACACAAATCTTACGCAACAATTCATAATACGCTTCAATCGCGCGTTCCCCCCCTCTGAGAGACCACTGTATGCCAAACAGCTATAATCGAAGAAGGGAAGTATAAGGGAAGATACAAGGAGTTTGCGGGTGGAGAAAGGTAAGAGAAGCCAGGACCGACGAAACAGGCTGAGGGAGGCAATGGAATGGCGGGAAATTTGGGAAATGTGAGAATGCCAGGAAAGGTTTTGGTCAAAGACTACTCCTAGGTTTTTAACCGAGGAGCAGAAGGGGATTAGAGACTTAATTGACAGAATACAAAATTTTTAGCACATTCAATGCGGGTGACCCCCCGCAGTGGAGTCATGCACCTCTCTCTGAGACGCCAAAGTCCCCCCCCCCTGCATTTTAATTAGAAAAGTCATATAATGGCCCCGTAGGGCTTGAACGGTTTAGTACAGCCAGGATTATCTGTGTGAGAATTGTTTCCGAGTCTGTAACCTTAAACTGCTAGATAGCACTACAAAAGCATGTCAACTTTCTACACCATTCTTTTTCGCTTAGTTTGACCTTTTTTCTAAATAATATGTTCTAAAATTAAAAATAAGATTTTTCAATTGGTTTTCACGTAAAACCAATAATTTTTGTATTTTAGTAACTATAAAAAAATTTAGTGAGTTTCTCTTTTACATGAATGATTTTTTTAAACTTACCTATTTTGTTTCCAGTTTTGTTCGAAACCGACTTTGATTAAGTATGTAATTATAGTAGAATATATACATGACTAATAAAATTTTACCTCCATTTTCACCTAATAAAAGGAAGCCAGGATGACTCCAGGTAAATATCTTTTAACAAAATTCATCAACTGCATCTCAGTTTTTGGAAATTATAATAATTTATATTTTTATTTTCCTACAGTGAGTAATAATCAATTTTTTTCCCAGAATCCCAACATCCGGGACATTTTTGGACGAAACACTTACTTCATGGGGTGAAGTGAAAAGCTGTGCTATTCCAACATTTTTTTTTTTAATTTCACAAGATAATTCGATAAATAATTCAATAAAATAAATAAAAATAATAATAATTAAAAAAATAAATTTAATAGTCGACTGTCCCACTTTACAACCCTTTAGGCAAAGGCTCAACCTTTCGAGTGATTTACAGGAGTTACTGGGTCCCCAGTGTTTCTTTTGAAGAGCACTTTTCAGCTTTCTCAAATTTATTGGAATTTATAATGAGATTTAGGCCTTTTCCCAAATTGTTATACCATTGAATGCCTGCTAATGTTTAAATAAAAGTTATGCGTGCAAGATTTCTTTTTTCAGAGGTTTTTGAGGCTGCTGGAGCGGAAAAATGAAATGGAAGAAAATACAAATGGCGACACAAGTGTACAAAAATACACTGCAATGCCCAAAATCGCAATTTAAATAAGAAAAATAGCTCCCTCCAAAAAAAAAAAAAAAGAAGAAGATAAAGATAAAGAAATGTTATTGTGTTTTGTTTCTTATTATTGTTATGTAGAATTAGTTTATGTATCATATTTGAATGGAAGAATAAAAGGATAAGGATGAGCCAATACTCATGCTGAGACTGTTGCTAGTCTGACTCCATTATTATTATTATTATTAGCCATACAAGCCTACGGGGAATTTTTAAATTATGGAACAAAATTCACAATTCTAATTAAAAAAAGAAACAGAAATAAATTTTATAAATTTATTAAATTTTATGCAATTTAAAATGGGAATTTTGTATGCATTTGGCCTTCCGAATTAAGAATTTTAAAAAGAAAAATTAAAGCTTGGATGGCAATAGGATAAATAAGATTACGAGTGAATGTTTGGAGTCAGAGCTTTATAGCACTCAGAAGAGATATAGGTAACCTAAGATAGAAGGTTTGGGTGTTAGGGCCTGAAATGACCTTAGCCGAATAATAGAAGGTTTGGATGTTAGGGCGTGAAATGACCTTAGCCGTTAAAACGCCCTTAAAAATTAATAATAATAATAATAATAATAATAAAATAATAAAATAAATACTCTGGTCTCTATTCAAAACGAGTAAAAAAATGGTAAATATATGATTTTACTGTTGTAAATTCGCCGGTTTTTGAATATTTTTTCTTTAATTCCCCATTAAGGTTTAAAGTAAGATATTCCAGTTTTGTGTAATTTGTTTTTTTTTCATGTTTTAATTGTTTTTTTATATGATAATAAAACAGGCCCTGAAGATGATAGTATAAAACTGTCGAAAGCTCGGCGAAAACTGAAAGGAAGTTTTCTCTGTGTTTGACCTCTTCCGTAGATCCTCTGAAAAGACTTAATATTTTTTCTTTTTGAAATTCATTTTGTAATAATTAAAAATAAGGATAAATGACAACTGCAAATATTAGAGAAAAAATAAATTGTTCTTAACTAAAAGTTTATTTTCCTTCTTTTTGGTTCAGCATGGAAATATTTTCCTCATTCACAGATTCGTGAAGAAAAAGTTGTCAAAATAGGTTTTTGAAATGGTTTAGAATACAAAAAATTTTAAATAATTTGTTATTCAACTGTTGAATCATGCCAAGAGTGAATTAGACAAAGTGCGTTGTGTTGTGGGTTTTTAATCAAGACTTTCGCCGCTTAAGGTTGACTCCAGCGAGGAGCCACGGTCAAAAACCCTACAAAAATGAACTTGTGATCATAAAACATTATTTGCTATTAACTGGAATCTATCAAGTTTCATGAAAGAAAAAAAAAAATCTGTAACTAGGTTAGGGGGTGAGGGTCTCAGATTTCATTACCGCATTGAATGGGTTAAACATATTCTGTACAAGCATTGAAAAACATTTGCAAAAGCTGGGATGTTTTAAAACTCAATGTTTGGGTGTCACATACTCGATGTCAATTTTGCTGCTCGCATATTCATTTGTGATTTGCTGAAAAATTGCCAACCAAACGACCAATTTTAAGCCGTGTGATTTCTGCAAATGAAAAATGGGTCTTGTATGACAACGTGGTGCATAAGAGATCATAGTGAATAAGGACAAACCACCAGAAATAACATCGAAAGCAGTATTGCACATAAAGAAAATTATGCTGCATGGAAGAATTTTAAAAGATGTTGCTCCCTAAGCTACCGCACAGACTGTGAAATGATTTACTGTTAACTCCGTCCACAAAGGGTTAAATGAGTTTATTTAAAAATAAATCGCAGGGGATGGATTGTAGAAATATAACGAAAATTGAGTGAAGATGATTTCCATTCAAATGGTGAAGATATTTGAATTGTGAGTACCACTGTTGATTACAAACAAGATAACGGTTAGACCATTAAAATGAGCTTATGATTTCTTCAAATTATGTACAAAAATAATCTCTTAATGTCTATCTAAAAGAGCGATATAAATCAACAAATTCCTGCATATATCAATAAACATATAAAGCTAAACTATTAAAAAATGTGTTTACAGTGCAACTTGTAAGTTGTTAGCAGGGAAAATATATTTATAGAAATTTTAACTACAAAAAAGGTTTAAAATTAAGGAAAAAAAAAGACAGAAGATACTGTTATCAAAATTTCTGGTTTATCGTGAAACACTCCCCCTGGGAGTTCATTCACGACTGTTATCTTTGCTATCAAGCCTAATATGATCTATGACCAAGGACAGTAAACCCGTAATTGACGCAAAGATAAATAACACATATTTGTCGAAAAACGTGAAAAATAATTGGGCACTCACGTGTCTCCAATTCCTGCCGTTCCCTTCGGGGAGCTTCTTCCACCTCTTGACGAGGAGAACGCAAGCGTTGCACACCTCACCGCATCTCTTCTCTGGCAGTTGGAAACAGTCGACGAAGTCTTCCTCGTACTTCTTGCTGTCCGTGAACCTTGAACTGTCAAAATAAAATTGTTTTTTAATTAACTATTTTCAAAGCTAAGCTATTATATATAAAGAGATTTTTTAAAATTAAAAATCATCGTTTTAAAAGGATTGGTTTCTTATTCAATTTAATTTTTCAATATACAATTTAAGAATTAATACAAATACAGTTAAAAATTATGATAATGTTATTGTTGATTTTTTTTTTTTTTTTGTTAACATGCCAAGAAAGTAAACAAATATCCAAGGTGAAAAAATTATAAACCTTGCAGTTTAAATATTCAACAAATCTGTTTATTTTACCTGCTCGATTTCGCTTTGCAGATACAGCACCCTGTTGATGACCTGTAGACTTTCGGCTTGTGAAAACTGAACATTGTTTATGCACTCCTCTAAACAGAAAAAGAAAATGTTTATTTCTCAGCGATACAAGTGTAAATTTTACATTTTTAATGAAAATGCATAGAACAATGGAGAATCGTATTTTACATATTTATTTACGACCTTTCGCCGTAGACAATTTTCAGTTTGTAAGCAGATAGACAAATCAATGTCAGAGATAAAAATGTTTACTGAATCTTCAGGGAGGAATAAAGCTGATTTACGCAAAAACTTGTATATTTATTTGTTTTTACAAACAATTCAGTAAACAAATGACAAGTATCTGTTCGTTTTTTAAATAATTGAAGTTAATTTTGAACCAAAAAATAGGCTGGATTTACAATGATTAATAAAGACTTTAATTTCAGAAGACCAGTTTATAATCTTCTCTGTTTTTTTGACTTCAGTGTCATTTTTTTCTCTTTTTATGTGGGTCCTGTGTTAATTTAAATGCAATCGCACTCAGTGCATGTAATATTGATGATGTCCGTTTCATCAGATAAGCTATCAAGGTCCCATGAAACATTGCAACACGCAGTGAGATGTTTTAGAAAAACTGGGTCATAATGAAGGCCAGTACCTAGAAGCCTCACTAATGACCAAACATCAATTTTTTTATGATAACAACATTGTGAAATTGATACCAGAATAAGTCAACCTCAAGAAATTCAAATCATGAAAAATATTAAACGAGCATGGTTAAGATTAAAAAGTCGGCCTGTTTATGACCTTGCGCACCAGGACCAATGTTGTCTATTTATTATCATGTAGAGCTCTTCGTTTAGCTCTAAAGGATTTTACCAAATCCCAAAGTTTTGTTAGTGGCACCCACGAGTATCCTTCCTCCCCTGAGAGTAACTCAGCCTGCCTAGACTTTCGCATAAAAAAAAGCAGTCCTTGGTCAATATATATCCTTTTGGAGTTTGCAGAAGTTTTTAGCGTTCTGCAGGCAGTCCTACTAGTAGTATGCATTAAAAATTGATGTAGTAAAATAGAATGAAGTAATGCCGCGGTAGCCGAGTGGTTAAAGCATCAGACTCTCGGCTAGTAGATCCCACGGTCGTGGGTTCGATCCCCATTATTGCCTCTGGACTTTTTCTGACACCTAAGAGGACCTATGGCCACAATTGAAAGAAATTGACATGGCACTCATCAATGGAAGAAGCGGGATCAGGTCTCAGCGACAATGAATTTGATCCCAACCCCCTTCAAAAATGAGTTTCTTCAATGGAAGAACACTGGGGGCTCAAATTCACACGTGTTGCGAGCCCCCCAAAAAATGGAGACAGGGTGCACAGGAGGGAACTCCTCCAGTTCCTGGAATACATTGGAAAAAACCCACCATAGATCCATATTTATGTGCGTCAATGTTTATGTACTCTATATCAAAGAAATGAAAGGTTGCTTTTAAACCTATAGCTGACATTTCTATGGTGGCTCATTTGCTTTTCGAGTAGATGTGTCATTCTTGTCAGAGTGGACACTTTCAACATAGCACACAATAATGACACATCTACACAGAAAACAAACACTTTGAGCCTTGAAGATGATCTCAATAAAGATCGAAACGTTGGCATATCATTATCTCCCTATTCAAAACTGGCGATGTCAATGATGTAAATAATTAAATTCACTAACTTCGTTGTCCACTTGACCAATTAATATATTACAATTAATTAAGGTTTTCAAAAAATTCAAAAGGGAAAATTCAAAAGGTGGGGTTGAGATGGGAAGTTAGTGTCCGAGTGGATCGAGGTCACGATAGCTCAAGTGGTAGAGCAGCGGCGTATCAAGCCGAAGATCGTGGGTTTGAATCCCGCTCGTGCCATTGACTTTTTTATCTCAACCAAAATTAATTGTGATGTAAATAATTATAGAGGTATTTCCTGCCTGGACTTAATTCTTATTATTTTTTCGTTTATTCTTTTTCTCTTGACAACGACCTCCGGCAGATGGATTGTGATCCATGCCTGTATTATGCATTGCGAATAATCATTGTTATATACATAGAAATAAAAAGCATATTAAAAAAAAAAAAGATCGAAACGTTGACACGAATAAAGAAAATGTTTTTCTAAAACCTATGTCACACCAGATCTCATGACCTCCAAATAATCATTAACTAACAGTTACTAAACACAACACAGTTATAAATTTCGGACACCTTCGCGTGCCCTTGGTCCTGCTCGGGAGAAAACTCGGTGCGAGGAGAAAAATGTCACCTTCTTCTTGTTCTGAACTACAAAGAAGTCTGACCCGTCTGCAATTTTTGATTAACTAAGACAGTGAGACAATTTTTTAAAATGTGTATTTGTTTCCTTTTGTCATTGAATTGTTCTTTGTGCAAGATTTCTGTATTGTTCTCTATTCGAGTTTGTAAGTGCCAAACCATCATTGTTCATTCTTTTTTTCCCCTTCAATAAACTCGAGTTCAAGAGTTCATAGCCCACAATATAATCTAATATAAGAAAAAAAAAAAATGTAAGAAGAGCTCAAGAAAAAGAGGAAGATTTTGAGATTAGTCCAATCTTTTATTTTACCACTATGTCAGATGTATTTTGACTTCTAAGAGAGAGAAAAAAAAAAAAAATCCAAGTTTGTTATGCTCAATAAATTTTAAAGTGTGAGATTCCTATGGCAAGGAAAGGAAGACAAAAATTATTGGAGATGTAATAACGGCTAAGTTGATGTTTTGAAAGTATTGAAAAATTGCAATGACATAAAATGCTGAAAAGGCAGTTGCCTTCAACTAGAACCCGCTCTAATCTTAACAAAAAAAAACAACTTTTGAGATTTTTTATACCATACACTTTTAGATATAAAAACTTTAAAATTAAGCTGGATAATGGATGACAAACTTCAGTACTTCGGGCTCATCTCTCTGCAAACCTCAATGGAAAACATCAGCTAAAAAACTTCTAAAAAGTAAGCAAAACCTATTCATAATTTACTTTAAGAACTTTAATTAGCAGCCATATAATTACAATTTATCGGCTTTGTCCAAATGGTATGGGTAATCATGTTTTAGATTACATTTTATCTTACAAATCAATTTACGAGTGAATTTCAGTACAGACTTATTTTTGTTTACAATTCATTTCATATAAACACTCACATTTAATAAACCAATAAACAGTGGCTATATCAACAGTACTATCTCTTGGTCACACCAATGGTTTTTTTTTTTTTGTCATAAGGTACTAAAAGATTGAAGATAAGGCGCCTTTTAATAAGTAATATTTATCCAACTGAGATAAATGATGTGCCTACCATTGAAATTCTTTAATATTTTCAAAATTACATCTTTATTAAACTAATTTTGAGAGATTTTTCTCTTAAGGTCAGTAGGAGGTGTTGAACTGTAGTTTAATCATTTGTCAACCGTTTTGGCCTTCCTTTACTCGGTTTTGGTCTGTCAGATGGATTTCGGTTTTTGCTACCTTAAGCGGTATGCCTGTGATCAAAACAGAGGGATAGGAAGAAATTGAAATTGATTGAAAATTACCAACCAAAAATTTTTTTCACTTTATTTAAAGAATTTTTTTTAACCAGTGAAAATAATGTTAATTGTGCTGGTCATACAGAGATGATCCAAATTTGGGGGAAAATAAAAATAAAAAACGGATTGGATGACCTGTAGTTTGGTCATTTCCAAACATTTTGATTCTTTACTGTTTTGGTCTGTAGATACATTTCAACTTTTTGCGAATTTCAGTGGTATCATCTGTGGCCAAATAGAAAGGATAAGATCAAAATGACCGAACTTTTAACCTGTAGTTTGGTCATTTCAAAACATTTTGATTCTTTACTGTTTTGGTCTGTAAGATACATTTCAACTTTTTGCGAATTTCAGTGGTATCGTCTGTGGCCAAATAGAAAGGATAAGATCAAAATGACCGAACTTTTAAGTGCTCAGTTTTTTAAAAATGATTATTACATTTAAATAATAAATAAATTTGCTTTATATGTCTGCAGGTTAATGAACGTGTGTAGTTTGCTCATTTTGTATTATCTCTGTTTACAATATTCTTGATTATTTATTTACTTTTATATATTTTGGTTTTTAATAATTAATAAACAGCTAGGAAGAACACAAATTGGATATGATCAAACCACAAAATTAATTTTACCAACCATAATTGGGCCAGACGTTTTGATAGAAATGATAAATGGTAGTGAGTGTGTTGTTCAATCTTTTTTAAAAAGATAGTTCCTACTCAGTTATTTGTTTTCAAGGATCCAGATTTCAAACTTATTGCTCATTATCAGGTTGAAGGAATTTACATACACAAAAAAAAATTAAATTCCTCCAACCTGATGAGCTGCAAGTTTAAAATTTGAATGGGAGAAAACAACTAACTGTGAGTAGAAACTATCTTTTTAAAAAGATATTTTTAATTTTATCCGTCTGTTTGGAATAATTAATTAAACCTTTGGTACTTAAAACTGTTAACATTTCCTACACAAAAAAAAAAAAAAAAAATTGTTAACATCTTTTGCTACATAAGAAAGCATGTTTCCTTCCTTTTCTCAACTTTTAAGTTACCAATTTATTATGATCGCACAAGACAGAGTATTCTTTATTATTACTATTTTTCCCTAAATTCTTCCCAGGCAATACATAGCTGGAAAACCCAGCAATTTACATTTCTAGAAAAGAGAAAAATAGCTTATATTTGTGAAATAAGCAATATAAACACCTAAATTCACTAGTTTCGTGGTCCGCTTGACCAATTAATATCTTACAATTAATTAAGGTTTTCAGTTGAGATAAAAAAGTCAATGGCACGAGAAGGATTCGAAGCCACGATCTTCGGTTTGAAACGCCGCTGCTCTACCACTTGAGCTATCGTGACCTCGATCCACTCGGACACTAATTTCCCATCTCAAGGAGGGAAAATTCAAAAGGTGTGGTTGAGATGAGAGGTTGGTGTATCAAGCCGAAGATCGTGGGTTCGAATCTCGCTCGTGCCACTGACTTTTTTATCTCAACTGAAAACCTTAATTAATT